ATCGTGTGTTATATCATACAGTATCACAAAACATTCTGAGCACATGATTAATTAGGTAGTGTAAACTGACTTTGTTATTGTACAATTACAATCTGGAACCCGTTTTAATGCCTTTCTCATGTCTAAGTGTGCGCTGGTGTCGACTAAAAGTTGTTTTAAGGTAAATTTTATGCCAAATTTAAATTGTGCGTGTACATTTTTAAGTTGTGTCTTCAGTTTGTCTGAATAAGAAATAGTTTAGATAACAAAAATAATAGTTCGTAAATGTACAATAAATTAATAGCAAACATCAACACGCAGACTCAGCACTCTTGATTATTTTTACAGAATCACAGATACGATTTTATCCAGTATAAGTATCCAGCAAAGATTTGGATGACAAATCTGCAAGGAATTGTGTTTTACCTTTGATACAAACATTGATATTAGAACAGAAACGTTATGGATCATAATAAAGCAAATTACGTCACTGGTCCGAAAGTAAACATGTTTGTATCTATATAATTAATACGCTACACGAAAGTTTGTCGGTTGAACTCCTCCGCCATATCTTAACCGATTTTATCCATTGACGTCTCATTGGAAAGAGCGTGTCGCGTAGATTTGCAAACTGACCTTACATTTTTGAAAAAGTCCCTTGGGATCTGCCCCAGTGGCTTTAAAAGTCCCCATGTTATCCTTATGAAGAACATAATTGTTTACATTTTGATCAGCTGTATAATTTTATTGCTGTTATTTACTTTTCAATTCAATGAAACACATTGAGTACATTTATTTACTATTTGAGTTTGTGTAAACATAACCCCCAAGACGGATCGTGTTAGTATGGTTGTATCTTAAATTTGTGTATTTATCGTTGTTTTGTGTCGCTATGATGGATTGTGTTAGCATGATTGTAACTTAAATTTGTGCATTTATCGTTGTTTTGTGTAGCTATAATTTGTTTATTATTTGTTGTTTATTTCTTTTAAATGTCTCCGACGCAACGACAACGAAACATAGACAGGAGGCGCAATCGTGATAACGACCGCAACTACAGAACAGTGGCGCGTAATAGGCTTAACTCATCAGCTTAACAGTCTGAACATGAACCTGGACAACTTCAACTATTTGGTTACAAATGCGCCCTTACACTACCCCAAAACGACTTTTCGTTCTCAATTGGCCCTCTATTAAAGACCTGTGTTGCCTGTACAGCGAGGCATTTTGAGAAGGAGAGAACCGTCCGGAATGCTTTAGGTTTATCAATAACGAAGATAAACAGGGTCTGAGTTACACAACGGTAATATTTGAGTTGACTCTTTTAAATTCATTGTAAATATGACTGTTATTCAATCTGAAATAACTCCTGTAATACTTTGTAATTGCTCGAATTCGAGCAACATGTACACTAGTTAATATTAACACGAAACTATAAAAAAAACTTCCAAATCAGCTGTTATGACTATTAAACAGTACTGTATATACATTTAGCCAGTGATGTCATTTGTTTAAGTTTATGACACACACAGTTTCTGTTATAACATTCGTTGACCTTACACAACCTTACTTATCTATATAAATAAAATTAGAGTTTTGTCTGTACTTTGCTCAGAATTATATACTTTTAGGTAATTTTTACGTTTTATACATTAAAGAAGCAGAAACGAGTCTTATCTCTATTTCTGTCTGTCTGTCTGTCTGTCTGTCTTTCCCTTTGTCTGTAACACTCAAGATGGCATTTTACGCAATCTTCTCCGTGAAAACCAGAGTACCTATCAAGATCCAAGTCATTTTAATGTATTCACTGGATTGGCGAGAGTGTCTTTAGTGATTTAAATATAGCCTCACTACTTTGTAAATAAAATTACAGAAGTTCAAAAATGCAGTTTTGTGCGATTTTTGTCAATTTTTCGTTCAATTTTTATCACATAATCGTCTATGAAATAACGAACAGCTGTTCGGATCAAGATTATATTTTCTAGCTGTCAATGATATGTTTACAAATGTTGTTTACAAATACCGCAACCATTTCGAAGCACGTTTTGAAAGCAAATCCCAACCAAGTGGGATTAAAAACGTTTTTCTTACATAATGGATTTAATTAATCGCAAGTGCAATAATATAGTATCATAGTGTAACCGTAAATTAAATTAAATAACTAGACATCGTCCAAATCGGAACCAGAAATTCTTTGAGTATAAAATGTTTCTTGAGTTTTGACAACCAGAAAGAAGACCTTGAATCAGTGTTGTATAGGGCTGGGACACTGAAATGATCGTCGCCAATAGCTTACAAAAAAGGTTTCCACTCATTGACGGCGCTTCAATGGCGGTTGTGTAAAGTGTAAAGTAAAAAATCACAACTGCAGTGGGTGATTGTAACAGAGGTTTAACAGAGGAAGTGCTAAACTCGCTTTTCCAATGTGTCACTTTCTGTTTCTACTCACCGTGTGATGCAATCGCTGGACCATACAGCCAATAGGCCCATAGCTCATATCTTGGGTACGTAAGCCTACATATTTATTCATAACAACCTTTTTGACGACGATCCTTGATACCGGTACTTTTCCATTGAATACATGGCCTACCTACTTAAGAAATATAATTACAAATGACCAAAACCCCAACATTGTGTGATTTTCGTCACATTTCCTTCTAATGTTAATAGATATACTAATCATTGTTTAGAGAATGCGTAATCTATTAAATAACAAAAAGTTGTTTGGGTAAGGTTGTTTTTTTTTTCAAACTGACACCGATAAGTTTACGCTATAACTTTTTACGAGAAAATCCAAAAGCAAGAGATCAATAACCTCGGGACTAGATATTAATGTATTTAATTGGTCGGATGTACTATAGTTCTTAGGTAGGTTCTCTGTATAAGTTTTGCTTTTTCTGTCTGGATTCCAAATCTTAGCTTACCCGGTATGCTAAGAAAATGATAACCTATTTGAGTAAAACATTTGTTGGGCAAACCATCATGAATTGTTTACGCCTTTATATTGTTTATGTATCAATAGTTCGTGGCCTTTTTTGGATTGTTGTGTGTATGTCTGTTGGTAACGCATTAATGTCCTTAATTCTCAGTGTTTCACGGAATGGACAAGAGCACCTTTAATACTGAAAATGTCAACCGGAATAAAGTGTTAAATGGTGAGGTTGAGGTAGTACTTTAAATACGTTTAAGTTAACCGATGTGGAAAGTAACTTTCAATTATAGGCCTACTTTAGGTCTACGCTTCATGGATCTATAAAACATTTTTTAGTTTAATCATTGGACATATGGACCATAACGATCCGGGTGACATTTAATTGCGAAGCATTTATTTTGGCTTGATCTGTCAGATACTGTATTTGCGAAGGTTTATCCTACTAATATTATAAATGAGAAAGTTTGGATGTATAGATGTATGGATGTATGGATGTATGTTTGTGACAAGTGAACGCGAAAAATACTGGTCGGATTGGGCTGAAATTTGGCATGATGATAGCTCACATTCCCGATTAACATATAGGCATATTCTTATTTCAAAAATCCTTTCGGGCTCCGCCCCAGTGGCTCTGGAGTTTCCCATGTTAACCTTATGAGAAATGGAATTATTGAATCTTAACAGCTGTTTCAATTAAACAAGTTGGTTCTGTTCTGTGATGTTCAATAGCATTAAAGTTACAAGGATTACCAACAGGGTGCAGCACTATTATTTATTTTACATTTATGACAACAGCTAATTTGCAACCAAAAGGTGAGTGAGCGTAGCGAACGAACTTCAACCTGGAGGCGAGTTAGCGTAGCGAACGAGCTAACCTGAAGGCAAGTGAGCGCAGCGAACGAGCTCCAACCTAAAGGTGAGTGAGCGTAGCGATCGAGCTCCAACCCAAAGGTGAGTGAGCGTAGCGAACGAGCTCCAACCTAAAGGTGAGTGAGCGTAGCGAACAAACTTCAACCAGGACGTGATTGAGCCATGCAAACGAGATAATCTTGAAAATTAAGAAGTTAAACGGGGCAAAGCCCGCGGGTTACAGCTAGTATATAATAGTTTTGCCAGCATATCTGCAAATGTGTATCTGCAAATGTGCAAACTAACTGCTGTTCTTAATCTTAATATAAGAAGGTTTCAACTGACTACTATAAGATCCCCGTGCGTAGAACGGGCACACAGCTAGTCTTAACTACGGGTTTTTAATTTTTTAACTTTTGCTTGGGTTTCATAAAAACTGTTTTTCATTGCACAGCTTGAAAATTATTTTTTAAAAGACAAATAAATTAATAGTGATGGTGTGTGTACAAAATGGCAACAATAGCATGGCTACCAAACTCCTACCGCCAGAACCACTTGGTCGCACACAGACCAAGCACTTGGTTTATTAGTTCCGTAAAGAGAACGTCGAACTTTCATCTTGACCTTGACATTCAAAACTTAAAATTGAATGAATCTTCTATCTTCTTCTTAATTAGGATCTGCGCTTTATTAGTTTCACTAAACATTTATTTAAGTTTGAATACAAGATTAGAATACAATTTAATTAATAATATTTCTTCAATGACATTTAAAAAGGTATTAATGCCCAAGAGACTAAAAGTGTATTAGAACTAAGTGTAGTGTATTAGTATTTTAGAACTAAGTGTAGTGTATTAGTATTTTAGAACTAAGTGTGAAAAGAAATTACTTGTTATAATACGAAACTGAATTTAAAAAAATATCACCAACCCATGGTTGAAAATCTTCACAATTAATTATTAAAACGTCCCACCCACATTTTTCATACCAACATATTTCATATGATAATTTGTATATATTTACAATAAATACATCCACTTTGAAGTCTTTGTAAAGTAATAGGTGATTTGATTTGAATTTTAAATTTTCTTCCCATGCAAGAATACCATATAGGTACCATAAACAAAATAGGTAAACTAAACTATAAAATCGTGATAAAATGTTCTGCTAGAATAAACTAAAATTCTATCCATATACACCCAAATAAATCGATTGCTGTCCAAAACGATCCAATATTTACCTATTGACAGCGCGATCATTTGCTTGTCGGGATGCGGTTGTATGTGCAACCCCTCCACAATGGCGCGTATAGGGTTGTGCGTGTTGCGCGCGATACTGCTAGCGCACACGGACCACGGTTTGGCAGGAACGGACATCTCAACACCACTTCTGGCGGGAACCATTGCGTGGCGGACTATATCAGCTGTGCTGTGGATCACGTGGTACCCGCTAGACCGGTTGATTCATTGTTGCGTTGATGTTGATTGGGCGCAGTAAAGGATCAACAACAGGTTGTTTTGTGGCTGTTGTTTTTTGAAATGGTGATTACAATGTTCAACTTCTATGATTTCATGTTCTTGGTTTTAATTGATAAACAGAAAGTGCCTACGTTGGTATTATTTCAATTAACTTAATTCCAATCCTACCACTTTTGCATTGAATTCATATGATATGGAACGGTGCTCCAGCGTTTCTAAATACACTGTTTTCTTCTTTAAACTTTCAATTTTTAGTTGTTTAGTACATAACACAACTGCAACAGTACTTTTCTAGCATTAAACTAGGGGTTCTTTTGAAAATGTCATTTGTTTTAGAGCCCTCTGAAGATGCTTTAAGGCTTCAATCTTCTCAGCTCCAACATTTCACTTAAGACAATCTCTTAATTAATATTTATATTTTGTATTATTTTTTCTATAAGAAGGCAAAAACATATTATAGTTATAGTTATTTGTGTAACTAGTGTGCAAAGTCATGGTGGAAGGAAAATACATACGTGTGCTACTCCCATCATATGCTGTCGCCACCTAGATTGCAAACACCATTTCACCATTTAGAAAAAAAATATATAAACAATAACAATAAAATCAAAACAAATATATAAAAACAAATATATGACAATACAATCAGGTGATTTTTTGTTTGCTATCTGGGTGACGTCAGCATATGACGGGACGGGAATAGCTAGCACACTTATGTATTTTCCTTCAACCATGGTGCGAGTGTGAAGTGGTACTTTAATACTTTTCTTTGAAATGGTGACCATACAAAGGTTGGCATTTTAAGTCAAGTATGAATGGAGATTAGTGTGGAATGAGTGAAAATGGTATGGCAATTCTCCACTTTGCTGCACATAAGAGAAATGTTTGCGTACGAGCCGCAGGCGAGTGTTGAAAGTTCCTTGAGTGCAGCAAAGTCACTTTGCACTAATGCACTCGCGTTACACATTATATTTTTCCTACAGTTACTAAATCATATAAACGTTTTTTATGTTAAATCCAAGCGTTGAACAAAATAGGAAACGCTGCACCAGCAGATTGTTGTTGTAGTAACTTCAAGTGTTGCCAACTATTTCCAAGTGAACATATATTACGTAGTAGCTAATAAAAGCACACAGTTTTGAGTTGTTTGGTTGGAATACTGGAGTGCAGCAAAAAAGATGCGTGTGTCAAAAGTAAGTAAATGCAGCAATTAGCTATTTTGTGTCCTATAATCAGAGCAAGGAAGCCCAATTTGTCAGGTAACTGTAGGAAACTATTATTTATGTAGGTTACCGAAATAGGGGTTGTCTGCAAGCTTCAGTTCATTAAAATGTTTAACAGTAACCCTGGCATTTTCACAAGATAATAGAAATAACTCTTTATGAAGAGGTGGAGATTTTGACCAAATATTGGGCTATACAATAAACAGGGATACATGTTTATCTTTGGCAACTGAGTCAGTCTGTTCCTCACTACTCAGTTTCAGTCATCTTGTCAGTCGGTTAAGAACGAACGCTTAAGTGAACAAAACGGCAGAAATGAGGGGTTCTAATGTCCATATCTGGTGTGAACTGGTACATTGGTTTACACTGGTAACCCGTTCCAACCAAATCTTGCACTGATTGAAAGACTTCCAAAAACCGAGTATCCAAGACTGGAAAATTGCCTGCCCGGCCTCTGACATCAATATGATGTATTTAGGTAGATGGTAGTCTTCCATGCGTAGTATAATGGCAATCCATCTCAGGGAGTCCCACACTTGAGTCAAAAAAATGTAAACCCCTCCTATCCTAAATAATAAATGTAAAGTAACAGCAAGCCTTTTACATTTGTATGTGGTTGTCATTTGAAACTTGAAAGCGTAGTAGCTCTCTTGCAATGATCTCTGTTAAACAAGAATGCATCAATACTCAACCTGGATTAAGTTAATAATGACTAGCTAGCCTATTTGGGTGTATTGGAGAAAAAGTATTGGAGAAGTTTTTTCAGCCTGCGCCCCTTAAAGATCTTTTGAAGCAGATTTATAGCTTGTATGTTTAATTGTGAAGGAAAATGAGCACAGTAACATATTTTAAAAACAACATTTATATCATATTAGCCTACCTGGGTTTGATGTATTATGATTACAGTTACAAACATATCAATCACATACAACCTTAAAATTATATTAATTTAAGTATTTATTACAAACAAAAGATAGATAATACATCTTAACTAAATACCTACTCTTTATCCCTTATTCAGTTATATCTAATGTTATGCATAACCACAAAAGTTAACAAAACAAACACTATTAAATCAGATTTCTCCCACAACTTAGGTTGTTTTCAGTTTATTTATTTGGGTAGATTCAAGTTGAGCTGTGTGGGGAGAACACTGATGTCTTGTGACTGAGACAGCATCAACTCAGCTTCCTCAGACTCTTGTCTTGCCTTCTCCTTCTGGTACCTGGATATCAGCTGGCTGACAGAGCTACTGGAATACTGAAAAGAGAAATCAGTGAAAAATGAACATGTATACAGCTAATGCTAAACTATGAAGTCAAAGCCAAAACATTACTTATCAAGTTGAAGTTAGACTTATTCTTATAACACCTTGTTTTAAGGAATAAGTTTACTTAAGTAGAGCTTTGTTTTGTAAATTGTATGAATCAACTATCCTAAAACAGTAATAGAAATAGTGACAAGAAATATTTAATGTTAAAACAATAGTCATATGGATAGGCATGGATTTTTTTTCTGGAATAATTAGTTGTTTCAATGTGGCTAATGTAATGTTTGCAAAATGTAATGTTTTTTTAGGATGGCTACAATGAGGTTATATCACTCAGAATGTTTTTCCAACCAATATTTTTGTATTCACTGATGATACCTACCAATCTATTTTTACAACTCTGGAATGGTTAAACATTAAATTATAAAAACCCTCTGTTTTACAATCTCACATGAGGACCTAATGGTAAACCACAGAGTAACATAGGATACACTCCATGGCACACAAGTGGTGTCTAGCACTAGTGCTGGTGTCTAGAGCAAAGTTCCGCACGCCACCTCCCCCCCCCCCTTAGTCACAAGTGCATTTCCGCCACAACATACCAGATTTGAAATCACACAGTTGTCCCATAAGCGTGATTCCTCTGTACCTTGCTTCTCTGTGGGTAAACGAAAAAGTAAGACAGAGAGTTAGTAGGCCTAGTATTAAAAGTAAAACCCTAAAACAATTGTGTAGGCTATAAAAGAAATCCCACCTTGAAACTTGGAGTTGATAGAGTAGTAGAAAAGGATGAAACAGGAATATTTAAATCGCTGATGCTGGTCTTTTTCTCTGGTATCGCCTTTGAATCATCTTTATCTTTGATCTAAAAAATACAAACAATAAGGGTCAGAAGGAGTTGAAGTACCTTGGAGTAAGATTTATAACAACAACTCACCTGGAATATTCACCTGTAATACCTCGGCCCTAAGGAACGTTTTTCAGACCACCTTCTAATGAGAAAAAGGGTAGTCAGATGTACACAGGGATTTACCCTAAGGTGGCGACCCTATTGATAATTGATAAGTTACAAACAAGGATTGGAAGCATTGGAGCAGTTTAGTGTTGTATTGTATCCCATGGAGCAATAAGTCACCGTAGCAAATCTGCAGAAGGTGAAGCAAAATTCAACTGTGTCTATTGTGTACAGATTTATTACAAGCTTTATGTCAACAAATAAAGTTTATTCAATTTGATATTGTCATTAACAGCTCCAGTAGTTGTGTTGATTTCTAAAAAATTGTAAAATTTTCCTATTGTTTGGTAGTAATTCCTATGGTGTACCGTACCCCGGAGCCTTAGAATTTATGGGTTAATAATTTGCTAAGCCTTACCTGTTGGTCCACATAGTCGGTTTGTGTAGCAGAGCTGCCAACCTCTACCTTGTCAGCCTGACAGCCCACATCTATAGCTGATGTTAGATCTGTCTGTACACTACAGTCTGTACATCTTTTGCTGTCTCTGTTCATCACATCTTGCAGACGAGCCTCCAAATCTCTGAGACAAATTATATAATTTATTAAGCTATTACATAGTGTACATTTACTAGTAGGCATCTCTTACAAAAAGTCTCAATGTTGCAATAATGTTTATGTCCATCCAATACCAGAAACCATTTTACACTTTATTCCAGACTAGAACTGAAGAATTCCTTTATGATTATATAGCTAAAGGTCATTGGTATTGGGCAGGATTTGAACCTGGAACCTCATGAAAAAAAACCTCATGAAAAGTGTCCAAAGTCTGCACACTTCCACAACACCAGCTCAATTCCCCGATGTTGTTTCTGTAGTAGTATAGTACGTATATTTCACTACTAGTAACGAAAGTTACCCATTTTGGGGCGAGATAGTGTTTTACATGCGAGTCGAAGAACACTATTGAGCCCCGAAATGGGACTTTTGTGACGAGTATTGAACGATACTTTTTATCAGGATGAAAAAAAACCACTTCATCAAACTTAAAACTTTAGTTGTAACTTCAGTTGTACTTTGTTGATGTCACGCAAAGTATTGTTTGTGTAGCGAAAGTAATATTTATGACAGTAAAAGTCAGCTGACACTATTTGTTTTTGGTGTATGGAAATTGACGATTTTTGAAGATCTCAGCTGTCTGGAAATGGGCTATTTTCGAATACAGATGAGTTATGAAAAATTTTTCATCACTCTGTATTACTGTTCTGTATTCTGTATCACTCTGTAACAGTCGGTTGGTAAAAAATAATAATTTTTTACCAACCGACTGTTGGGATTTCAATTACTGTATCTAGACCAACCTTTTTTTTGTAACTGCATTTAATTTTCACAGGCTGCAATGAATGGCTGGGTATTAATCACCCCATAAGCCATTGTAAGTTGTAAAAAAGTGTATGGACTAGATAACTGTAGAGCCAAATTGGATTTTAATACAATAACTTCAATAAGAAGAGTCTGAAGGATTAGGGAAACCTCTTGTTATTGAGGTGCTCCTCTTGTTGTTTTTGTTGTTTATAAATGAGTACATTTCAAAACAATGCTTAGGCTAGGAAGTGAATTTTTAACATGTGCCGTAATTTGCTGTCAACAGCAAAAGAATCTAAACAAAATCTCACCTTACTTTATTGTTTGCTACTTCTTCAAACCGTTGAAGTTTTAACATATCTTTGAGGGCCGTGTCCAAAGATTGATGAAGGACTTCTGATTCCCTCTCGTAGTTTTTTATCCTCATACTCATTTCATTTGTTGAATTTTGCCACTGAAAATTTTGAATACCACTAAGTTTTCAAATATAAAAGTGCAAACTGAAAATTTATCTGCTTGGCTTTTAGATAGAAGTAGACAAAGATGTGGTACATTAATATTCTGTATAATTAGTATATAAGAAGCTTCCCTTAGAATCATGCCCTTGACTATTGGATGCTAAGTTGTATGATTGCAAAGTTAGTCATAGTAAAATATATGATAATGATAAAATTGAAAAGAAACTATAGCCAACGGCCAATGAATAATCAACAAAAACTCATGCCTATTGAAGACTTATAATAAATTATACTGAGTGCTACACAGAAACGCCACTAACAAACCTTGGTTTTAAAATGATCCTCAATTCATCTTATTTTTGACATAACACTCACAAAGTTGAAAACATTTTCACTGCAATCTGATAGTTAAAAAAAATATGCCATGTTTGAAATTATTTATATATTTTTAACATAATTAAATGAACTTGAAATATATACCTCTTTCATGATATCTCTCACATAGGTTTGTTCAACTGGCTTATTTGTACTCTCGTTTAGCTTCAAAGTTTTAATTTCACCTAAAAAAATAAAACTTAGATATTTATAGCAAAAAATAATATGAAACCACAGAGCACTACTGTTTGGAGCATAGAGTATGCATAGAGTGCTACCCATATTGCTGTAAAAGTCAAGGTTTACAAGTTTTTACAACTTTTGTTGTTTTTCCATTAAACTAGGATTTCTTTCATAGCAGATGATAGCAGTGAAAGCCAGTTGAGCGGAGCAATAATGTTTCATGGGTTTTAATAAAGTAATAAATGAAAATGTGTATATAATACAAAATACGTTCCAACATTCTGCACTGCTAGCCTTTACTACTTCCTTCACCACTCCCAACTTCGTGGACATGTTTTCCCCCCCTTCCCATAGCATTTTAGGATTGCCGATACATTGATCTAACTGCCACAAAGGGTTCCCACATTCAGTACCTTTAGCTTTTAAAATTTCCTTAGCAATTTCCAACATCGTGGACCTGTTTCTCTCCCTTCCTAGAACATTTTAAGATTGCAGATACATTAATTTAACTGCCACAGACGGTTCCCACACACCACAAGGTTCCTACGTCATGGACCTGTTTCCCTTCCTTCCCATAGCATTTTAGTATTTTAGATACTTTAATTTAACTACCCCAAAGCGTTCCCACACTCCGCATATTGCTAGCCTTTACTACTTCCTATGTCGTGGACCTGATTCCCATCCTTCCGATAGCATTATAGTATTGCAGATACATTAATGTAACTGTCACAAATGGTTCCCACACTCCACACTGCCAGACTTTACTGCTTTCTTCACCACTTCCTACGACGTGGACCTGTTTAAGTTTGCCATTTATGAGATGGATGCATGAATGTGATTCACTGACAAATTGTTTAAGATAAAATGTTATTTGTTATTAACCAAATTTAGCTACTTAAATAAAATCTGTTAAATACTGTACCTAAGAAAGTATATCTATGACTGTACCTATTTGATCCATGGTGGAAGGAAAATGGTATATTTTCATTCCACCATGTATTCGATCAGTGGTCATTTCCAAATTGCCACCTAATACTTTCTCTGTATTATTTGATCAGATGTCATCATCCAAATTTTTTCCCTTTGAAAATATATTAGTCAGGTTGGGTAGCAGGAAAATATTTCAGTTCTGGCAGACAGGCTGCAATTTTAGGTGGTTATAGTATACAAGTTTCTGAACCTAAAACCGCCCAGACCCCAATTTTTAAGGACCTCGGTCGTCCGTAATGACGTCATCAAAATGGCGGCCGTAAGAGGATGCTGGGTCCCCATGAATTGGCTATAACGACCGAATGCGTGAACCGATTTTCATGAAATTTGGCACACAAGTGCTTGAATACATTATGTCGGCCTGGGTTGAAAATGGTCAAGTTTCATCAAGTCATTTCAAAATGGCGGCCATTAAAAACTAAAAAAATTATGAGGAAAATAATTGTGAATTGTTTTATACAGGGTGAGTTTTAAATGAGTTCCCCCCCTACTTTTTTATACTTTTCTTAAGATATCAACTCCGAACCACGTCAGATAATTGTAGAGTAGCGATTACTTCATTTCGACTAGTTTTTATTGTATCCGTTTTTTGTTTTCAAGCTTTCTTGATAAAATATAACAATTATTTTTATTTAAAAAGTCAATATTTCAAAAACCAAACATGACAATGAAAAACGGATTGCGGCATTGAATTCAACATAAAAAAGTAGTTCAAAATGATGGGTCACAACACCACCTTCATATTTAAAATAATTGATCACATTTCAAAATGGCGGATCTAAGATGGCGGCTGAAAAAAATACATCCGTCATAACCGAGTTAAAATAGGTCAACAATGAATGGTGGTGTCCACTTATCTTTCACTAGCACTATTTTGAGATTATGGCCTTAGTTTGTAAATGCACAATGTTATAATGGACTAAAAATAAAGTTATAAAAAGTTCTCATAACTTTAGAATGGATCAACATTTTTTTAAACGGATTGCAGCATCGTATTCAACGTAAAGGTTTTGTTTGAAATGGTGGGTCACAACCCTATCTTTACGTTTGAAAAAATAACTTTGTTTCCAAAATGGCGGATCCAAGATGGCGGCCAAAAATGTAAACCCAGTCAAAATGAAGTTCTTGCTACTCTACAATGATCTGACATGGTTCAAAGTTGATATCTTAAGAAATGTATACAAGTGTTAAAAGGGGGGAACTCTTTTAAAACTCTCCCTGTATAAAACAATTCACAATTATTTTCCTCATAATTTTTTATAGTTTTGATCAGCCGCCATTTTGAAAGGACTTGATGAAACTTGACCATTTTCAACCCAGGCCGAGATAATGTATTCAAGCACTTGTGTGCCAAATTTCATGAAAATCGGTTAACGCATTCGGTCGTTATAGCCAATTCATGGGGACCCAGCATCCTCTTACGGCCGCCATTTTGATGACGTCATTACGGACGACCGAGGTCCTTAAAAATTGGGGTCTGGGCGGTTTTAGGTTCAGAAACTTGTATACTATAACCACCTAAAATTGCAGCCTGTCTGCCAGAACTGAAATATTCTGCCACTATATGCAGCTATACGACCCCACTATATAGACATTATCGAAAATTGAAATTGGTTACGTCTAAACCATCCATACATTTGACAAAACAACCTTGGAAAGTTTGGCAAAAATATGTTCATCCGTTATTGAGATTAAGTGTTATAAAGATTGCATTGAAGTTGATGCCAAAGAGCTTCGCTTCTCTCCACTCAATTATCAAAGTTACTCTCACTTTCTTCCCCATGTGCTATGATAAGAGTCATGGACAAGCTAACAGGAAAGAGTATGATTCAGATTGCTAAAACCGTTTTATTAAGGATAAAACGATAAATACTCACTACTCAAAGCTGTGATTTGAGCTGTCAACATGTGTTCTTTCTCTCTGCATTGCTTGATAGTCATATCTTTATTCTCAATGACAAGATTGTTTTTCTTCCCAATAGAAAGAGTTTCATTTGATTTTCTCTCTACATCCTTATATTCTTTTTCAAGAGTTCGCATTTGACTGTAAAGAAAACCAGTTAGAAATGAACAAACTCGCTAAATTATGATTATTTTAACAACCAACAACCAACTAACAATTGATGCTAACAAGAAAACTTACTTGACCAAGGAATCAATTGTTGCTTGCATTTTGGACTGTTTTTTAACACATGAACCCCGAAAGAATGCTTCATTTTTTGTTTCTTTTTCCAGATTCTCAATCTGCCTCTTCAGCATTGAATTTTCACTCTGAAAATGTTGACATAGTAAACCATCAAAATAATGCAACATTATTATTAAATACATGTCCTATTTATGTTTACAAAAGTTTGATTATTTCCTTAACCTATTACTCTAAATTCAAGAGCAAAGTTACATATATTACCAAGAGTTTCTGAGTTGAACCATATTATTGCAGTCCATATTTGTTAACACCACAGTATGAGTAGCTAAGATTGTAGATTACCTATTGCGACCCAAACATTTCTTGAAATAAACAGGCTTGGTTTAAATGCGAGGAAGGATTAATACCCCCGCCGCAGCAAACCTGCAGACTAAGCGAATTTCCATTTGACTGATTGGATTTACACTGAAATGTCTACTTAAAAATATAACATTTATTCTTGATTTAAATAGAATTAGTTTAACAAGTACTTAGGTTTGCTGCATCAAGGAGGGTAAAACTTTTTTTTGTTTGTAAAATGTGAATAGGTAGTGAGAAATAAAAACATTTTCCAAATTTGATCAAAATATGTTCACAAACAAGCAAACTACAACAGTTTACTTATTCCCCATAAGAATAACATGGGAATTTTAAATTTACAATTTTTTGGAATTTTCTCCGTAACTATTAGGCACATAATAACGCTTCAATATACTAAATTATTTGTTTTTTTAAGCTCTACAAAATGGTTTGGAAAGAAATTGCTAAATTTTATGTTTTTTGGGTCAAAAATAGGAAAAACCTATTTTTACCCCATAAAACCCCCCGTAAACCCCCCGTTCCCATGGTCCGATCATGCTGGATCGCGAACTCGTTCGAATAAACGTACGTTTACACATTTGTACCAAATTTCATCCAAATCGGATCATTTTTGCTCGAGTTATCGTGCTGACGGACACATATATATATATATATATATATATATATATATAAATATATAAATATATAAATATATATATATATATATGAATTTGAACGGATGGTGTTTTTGGCCTCTAGGGGACCTCAAAACGAAAAAAAAAATCGGTCCCCGCGTCCAGGTCTTACCATGAGTACTACGGTAATAGCTTATTCCCTATATGGGAAATTCGCTAAATATTCCCTATATGGGAAATTCGCTAAAAAGGAGATAATTGACTATAAGTGTCATAGACTAATGACTTTGCTGTTATACAAAACTTACTCCTTGTCAGTTTATGTAAAACATTATCATTCTTTGACCACTTAATCATCAACTACAATTATACAGGGTGAATAAAAAGTCAAGAACCTCCCCATCTAATATTTTACTAAGTGAATATCCTGAGATATCCTTTTGGTGGTCATGCAATCCTATCAGGAAGTTTCATTTTATGATTCTGAAAATTTTGAGTTGTCCTAAATTTCCCCCATTCATGGGGGACAATTAACATTTTTTAAATCATAAAATGAAACTTCCTGCTAAGTTTCCACAAATACCAAAAGGATATCTCTGTATATTTACCTAGAAAAATATTAGATGGGGGGGGGGGGGTCTTGACTTTTTATTCACCCTAACTCTCTGTTACGTTTATGCTTCCATCTTCTCCTGAAAAGTCCAACACCATAGCCAAATATTTAAGTTATTTTGTGAGAGATTCATTTTTATATTTTTATATCCTGGAATGTAATTTTCTCTCCTATTAAAATCCATCCCTATCTCAAAAGTAATGACTCGAGCTTTTAAATGCACTAACATTTAAGAAAACAACTTTTGTCTTGGTTGGGCAATAATTATTTTCGGTCCTGCTATTTATATTTATAACCAGCACAAATAAAAGTTTGTTTGAATTCAATTTTCATAGAAAGAAATCCCCAATACAGACATTGCCATTGTTGACTCTTTGTTTTGAGATAACCATTTTTACATTTTGGATTTAAAGAACTACAACATAAGGTTAGCTCTAAACCATTAGATCACAGTATCACCTTGTGATTTAACTTATTGTCAACTAACAGGATTTGAACACAAGACTTCAGGACAGAAATCCTGAGCTCTACCTATAAAACATAAAACCAATAACTTCTCTAACATGTAGCCGGATGGCCTCTTCCTTCATCTTTTCCCCCGCAGCGAGTAGTGACTTTAAGGCTCAGCTGGTGTTTCACAGCTGATTCTGTGGCTTCTTTGAACATCTCTTCGCATTTGTGCAAAGCTTTATTGGTCAGATCCAGCTGGGCTTGCAGGTTGCTCACCTGGATTAAACATGTTGTATTATTTGTGTACCATAGAATAGAGGGGAATAGCCCTAAACAACTAAGTGGTGTTAAGAGGTGGGTGAAACCAATGAATAGAAACCTTATAAAAAGCGAAAAGTATGATTATGGGAAAAGTCAGACTGGATTTTGCTGCCGAAATGAGCTTTGCACGGCCACCACTACTGGGTACTAAAAATACTAGGTACTAATAGGTAGGTAAGCGCTAGCCTTGTTCTCTCTACCTCTCTCTCTTCCCCAATTCTTTGTCTCACTCCCAATGCTGTAGGGTCCCATTGACGCTGCTGCCCGCAAGCAATATTAGCGCCTCTCCTACCTAGCGGCCGGAGTTAACTTGCCAAAATTCAATAATCCCAGGCTCGAATTTTTAACATGGGCATTTCTCTTCTTATAAGGTTTGTATTCATTGGTGAAACTCTTGGCTCATTAATGAGCACCCAACTTTTATTTTTGTTTTGTTATTAACAAAAGTGTACATAGAGTTTGAGGAACTAGAACTGAAGGTTACAGCAGCTATAACTTCACCTCTAATTCTCCATAATTTCCATGCTAATAAAATTATAACTGGTTAAAGTTTATATTCTGAAAATAATGGAATGGGTCCAAAAATAACTAAACTTAATGGTTTTCCTTATGCAAGTAAAATGCCTATGGTGATGGAACTTAGGACGTTGGATGTCAAGAATTTTGAGTGTATATGAGCCTAGTAGCTAGTAGCCTAGCCTTTCGGACTATTGTTTCAAAATTTTAAAATTTTAACTCTAACTTCAATATACGTTTTTGAAATTTTAAAAATGGTTCATGGAAATCCTGGTATGTTTCAAAATTATCTTAGTAATAACTCATATAATACCCGAAGACAAGACATTTTTCAATACCCCACTCATAATTTAAAAAAATATGAAACAAGTCCTCTCTATATGGGGTTAAAAATTTACAATAAAATTCCAAACTCCTTAAAGCAATTAAACTTAGCAAAATTTACAGGCAAAATCAAAACAGTTTTAGTAGAAAAAGCATATTACACTCTTGAGGAATTTTTCAACGACTCCTGGTAACAGACACCCAATCTCTCATCAACCTCTCCTAACATAAACAGTTCCACCATGCTGTAGCTTTGTAGGGGTAACTTACTGGCTAAATCCCAGGTTTTTTATATACCTATTTAGATTTCCTTATTTATTAGAAACCTTGACAATGTACCTGTCTGTGTATTACATCTATATAAATAAAATTAGAGTTTTGTCTGTACATTGCTTAGAATAATGAACTTTTTGGTTATTTTTACATTTCATAGGTCAGAGAAACCGAATCAAACCTTATCTCAATTTCTGTCTGTCTGTCTGTCTGTCTGTCTGTCTGTCTATCTGTCATTCTCTTGGTAACGCTAAAATACGCACTTTATTACAACTACTCCTCAATAACTATAGCACTGTCCCGCCTGAAACTTATTTTCCAAATACTATACATATATGAGATGGTTTTAGACGTATTTCATCGAATATGAGACAGTTAGATATTTAACAGTAAACCCTTGAAAATCAAGTTTTTGTCGATTTTTGACGTGGAATTTCTGGAAGCCCATGTTAACCTTATGAGAAATGAAATTATTGAATCTTAACAGCTGTTTCAATTAAACAAGTTGGTTCTGTTCTGTGATGTTCAATAGCATTAAAGTTACAAGGATTACCAACAGGGTGCAGCACTAGCACTATTATTTCTTTTACATTTATGACAACAGCTAATTTGCAACCTGGAGGCGAGTGAGCGTAGCGAACGAGCTAACCTGAAGGAAAGTGAGCGCAGCGAACGAGCTCCAACATACAGGTGAGTGAGCGTAGCGAACGAACTTCAACCAGGACGTGATTGAGCCATGCAAACGAGATCAGATAGTAAAAATAAAAGTAAGCCTACCGTTATAGGATCGACCGGCAGACACAGAGGTAATTTAACCTTTTATTGATTGTCATACCGATCCGGAACAACAAAAAACAACATAAAATGAAGCTATGTATAATAGTTTGGCCAGCATATCTTAAAATATGCAAACCAACTGCTGTTCGTTATATAAGAAGGTTTCAACTGAATATTATAAGATCCCCGTGCGTAGAACGGGTACACAGCTAGTTTGTAATAACTTTAACAGATGTTATGTGCAATAAAGAATTGTCATTTGTCATTTGTCATTAGTAATTTTAGTCAAGAAAGCTGTGAATGGATAATTTTTCATGTTTTTGTTGAAAGTTATTTTTTCTTTTTAATAGAATGGGTATAGCAGGTTGGTGTCAAAAGAAATAAGATTAATTGCTAAATAAACTCACCTCCATCTTTAAACTCTCAATCTCCGAAAGCAGTTCTTGCTTGGAGAGCTGCAATGTAATGCATTGCTGCTGAAGTTCTTCTAATAATCCCTGTAAAAACAAAAACATTTACAAATACATTTTAGTTATGAAACAAATACATTTTAGTTATGAAACAAATACATTTTAGTTATGAAACAAATACATTTTAGTTATGAAACCAATATTTAA